CTTATACACATCTAGATGTGTATAAGAGACAGATCTAGACCTGTTCACGAAGATATAAAAAAAAAAAAGATTGAACTGCTTTTCTGCATCTCGGCTTACAACACGTCCATCAGGATGGGAATTCAAAAAAAAAAAAGAAAAAAAAAAAGGATGGGAATTCAGGTCCGTGATCCAACAGGTCATGGCTGTACAAACTGAGCTACTAGAACGCCAGTGGGCCATTATTGCAGTATGTGGACTGACCGTTGCACCAAATACAGCATCACACATACAGCTATAATGACCCGACCTTCTATTTGGGTGAAGAGGGTAGGCCCATTGGCAGACCAATGGGAGTACGTTCTTTGATTACTATTATAATTGTATTTATCCGTTCCGCACAGCCTTTTTTTTTTTTTTTTTTCTGGGCTACGGAGGGGTCATATGGGTAGCTTGCCTGCTCGACCCCTCCAGCGTTGCCTCTGTATTGCACTGCTGCAGAGTGTGACGCAGCCCTCTGAAACAAAAAAAGAACAGCCTATTTTTTCAATGCAAGTTTCATCTTCGTTTTTTTTTGTTTTTTTTTGTGGCTTTTAATCTGGCTGACGTGAGTCGGATTTGAACTGAGGATCTGTTTATTAAAAGTTTCACGGACTTCCCTGTGTTTAGCACTGTATACGATCAGGCCAGACTGGCCAGGCAGACCTCAGAGCAGGCAGAGACCTGGTCGTGAACTATACACACATCGAGTTTTTTTTTTTTTTTTTTTTTTTTTTTCAAACACATCGAGTTCGTATTGCAAGTGTGTAGATCTACATCTGCTGCCTGCTCCCCGAGCTCCGTCCCACGTAGCGGGGGCTAAGTCCCCAGTACAGGCCACAACCGGGGGTTGAGTCTTCCTTTCGAGAACTTTTTTGTTGTGGCCACACCACAGTGCATCCATGAGATGTTCGGATAGGATGGCAGGAACTGCCTCCCAGATTCTTTGCACCGGGTCTAAAGGGACTTGCCCCCCAGATTCTTTGTACCAGGGTCTAAATGGACTTGGCCCCCAGATTCTTTGTACCAGGTCTAAATGGACTTGGACCCCAGATTCTTTGTACCGGGTCTAAATGGACTTGGCCCTCAGATTCTACGTATGGTGCGGATGGCAGGAGCTCAAAACCATGCGTAAACAGACTTAGCCCCCAGATTCTTACCGGGCTGTCGATCTTCACAATCGACCGTCCGAAATGTGACATCACGGTAAGCGGGACCTTGTCCCAGGGGCTAGGTCCCACTTGCACGAATTAAGAGATAGAGACCGTAGATAGCCGGGATCAACGGCCGACATCTCCTAATCCGTGCAAGTGGGACCTTGCCCCAGGGGTCAGGCTCAACCTTCATCAGGAAGGAGCCAGAGGCAAATGCCTCTAAGACTTTCCTTCCTGAAGGACGGGCATTTAAACTTTCCATCTTTTCAATTCAAAAAAAGAAGAAAGAATAAAAAAAAAAAGGAACATTCAGAGGTGAATTGAAAGATTTTGAAAAGAAGACAAGCCCTCCTTTCTGCTGTCAGTTCTGCCTGTCACTGTTCCCCCTCTATTCTGTGCGAAGTTGTCAAAGACAGTCGTCGTGCTAATAGGAAGCTATGTTGGGTTTTTGGGGGTCGGGGTGGGGGGGGGGGGGGGGGGGGGGGGGGGGGGGCGCGCGCAATAAGCTAAGCCCCCATTCAGAATGTCACGAATGTATAAAGATCCTATGTTGTGATAATAGGGAGGTACCCGAGTCTCTTTTTTTTTTTTTTCAAAAAAACACCCCCTTCAGTGCTAGCAGTACCCGAGTCTCTGCCGTTGGTCATAGTAAATGGTACAAGGAAGGACGACGAGGACCTTTTTTTTTTTTTTTTTTTTGACGACGAGCACCTTGAACCCTCTGGTCCCACTTGTGCTCGGCAGCCCTCCGGATACCAAGACTTGCCATCTTCCACCGAATAAAATAAAATGTACTTCTCTTATGGCTCTAGACTGAAAGATGGCCAAATACATCTATAATGACTGTACGTTGTACTTGGGGAAAGACAGTAGTCCAGACCCGCAGGAAGGTCCCACCTGCATGTATTCAGCTTGCAGAGACGTAGAGAAACGGTAGCATTTCAGCCCAGCCTGTTTCTGAGGTTGGGCAGGAGAAATAGCACCAGGTTTTGGCACCAGGCCAAACAGAGCTGTCATAATGTTCTCTTCTTCAGAGGGAGAAGGGGGGGGGGGAGGGGGTGTGACGTAAAGGGTAGACATCTCCAGTGCGGCCTGCACTTTCTCGAGGCACTAACAGCACATATCACACAACATAAACGGACGTTTGTAGCAACAACACAACAGGCTCTTTGATTACCAAAAGCTGACAGACACAACAAACAGCGGCTATGCACTCCACTACTCGTCACCATGAATAATGCAAAAATCATCAGTGTAGCCGTGTAAAGGAAGATGAGTGACAAAACTGTCTTTGCCAAACTCAAACGCACAGGCCAACCCTCGTTTAGGTTCCGCACAAGCTAAACCGATTATTACCTATGGGTCAAAAAGTGCGCATTATTTGAACTAACGTTGCACCAGACACATTCGAGATGCACTGAACTCGATCATTCGGATGCATCCGGCGCTGGCCTGGGATGAGAGCACTGCCCAATTTGTTCTAAACGGGCAACAACAATAGACAGCCCAAGATGCCCACAATACTGAGAAGAGAATTCGTTCACAAACCATGCCCATAGACGTTCCTTTTGCAGCAAAATCTCTCTCCCACTCTCGCATTCCCCAGCACGATCGAGTTTATTATTCACAAACCATGCAAGCCCACATTTGGTTTGCACCTCTCTCCCTCTCCTCCCCCCCCCCTTCCTCGATACCACCTCTTCTGCCCACCACCAAGTTGTTCCATCCCATGAGGGATTTTTGCTCTCTCTCTCTCTCTCTCTCTCTCTCTCTCTCTCTCTCTCTCTCTCTCACCCCCCAAATTCTCTTGGGGTTCCTCTTCTCCAAAACCTCAACGATCGACCCCTGCCAAGCACATTTTTGGCTCCCCCGGACAGCCTGGTCTTTGTGTACAAAGACCACAACAGCGGCAAGCACAGGTGCACAACCGATTGACGAAGTACAAGTACTACAAACAGATGCTGAAACACAAAAAGAGGCAAACTCACCTCGGAGCCTCGCGCAGCCTGAAAACACTGGCCAGCTGTACTCATATCAATCAATGATGGCGTCGACTATCCCCGGCTGGAGGCATGAAGCAATGACGGTATTCTCGTCCCAAGCTCGAGCGTACATGTCTTTCCATCATCCTCTGCTCCACGTGGCAAAAGTCCTCATGTAGCGCAAATGATTGATTGATTTAGTTGACTGATTGATTAAGGGATTGACTGATTGATTGAGGGATTGACTTACTCATTGCCTGGGTCACAGTGCCATGGCTACCGTGTTGAGGAGCCGCGCAAGCCCCCCACGGACACGTCATACCCAACACCCGAGCCGAAGACCAGTTGATCGACAGTTCCCAGCTGCTGCGCTAAGAACCCGTCGAACCCCCTTGCCTCGAGTGGGATATCAAAGAGACTTCCAACGCCATAGCCAGCAAAGGCCACAGCCAAAAGCACCAGCACCGCACAGGCCTGATACCCCGACACATCCCCCTTGAAGACGAAGAAAAGAGCCATCACCAACAGATAACCGCACAGGCAGACTCGCATTACCCTCAGCACGGTTGACATCAACCGGCGGTCCGAGGAGGACAAGGGAGAGGACCCCGACCACGCAGCATACGACGACATTCCCCATTCTGGCAAAATAACAGACGACGAGTAGGGCACCACCACTTTCATCAGCAAGTTGTACTTGTCGGCGAGGTACCGGTAGCCGAAATACGTTGCGCCAGCTGGGATCACCAGCGGAGAAAGCGTCGAATACGACAACGCCATCGCGAAGACCGTTAGATTGAAGGCATGATACTGGGGGATATCGAAGACCGCGGCCCTCGGCGGCACCGGACTGGCTTGCAGCATCGGGATCCCACCGCCGCCGCCGGCTGCAGTGCTGGTACCCTGGACGGCTGCTGCCAGCAGCGAAGCAGTCGCCTCACCGGGCGTGGTATCTCGACCATCATAGACGACCGGGCAGTGTGTTCGAGACTCATCCACCAAGTTCAGAACGTCATCTAGCCCAGTTTCCGGTCCACGTACGGGCGGCTTATTAGCAGCTACAGTAGTAGCAGCTGCTCGGCGAGGTCCAGCATCAGCTCCTTCGACGAGCTCAGCATTTTCCGCTTCGCCCGCCTCACCCGCCGCTGCATCCTCTGCGTGAGCCTCCACGTCATACGGGTAGGACAAAGGTAGCAGAACGCCGGGAATGCCATCCGCGAAGGTCCCATCTTGGGACAACGACGACAAGGCGCCAGCAGCCTGTGACAGAATTGGAGGGGAAGAAGAAGAAGAAGGCTGATGATCGGGAGGATAATAACTTGGCGACGCATTGCGCGCGGAATTCGGTCCAGGTGACGGACTGCCGCCAGTCCAGATTCTCCGGTAAGTGCTATACCACCGCCGCAAGAAGGGCACAGGGGCGAGCAGATCAAACGAAACGCCCAGCAACGCCGCCGCCAGCACAAACGACAGCGCATTCGCTGCCGACGTGACCGCCCACCCGTTCTTCAAGTACTTGCTGACACCGCTGCATCCCGCCTCGGGATCCAGGTAACAGCTGGACATGTGCGCGATCGCGCCCTCCAGGGTGGTCTCCACCAAGCTCTTCAGGATGAGCAGGTTCACGAGAAAGAACCCCACCGTCTTGACCAGCACGGCCCGCTGCTCCCCCGATACGGTCAGATGCCGTTCCCATCTTGCGCATCGCGCAATGATGGTCGGGATGACGACATACATCGCCACGAAGATGAGCAAGTTCGGCCCAACCTGCAACATCATGCCCGAGAGCCAAGTGCTCCCGCGAGCCCAATCCAGCCACTTGTGAAAATGCTCCACGGCATCCGGTCGCAATCTCGCCGTCGCGCTGTTTATCCCCATCACCATCGCCAGGGGAGAGCTCCAGAACATCAGCACGGCTAGGACACCCAAGTTGACAAGCGTGCGCCGGATCATGTTCCCCACCGCGCCGGCTCCCACGTGTCCCCACTCCACACCTCCGGGGGCAGGCGCCCTCTCCACCTTCCACTTCGAAGTGTGCAGCTCAGGTGCTGAGCGCCTGGACCACTTCAGATCTTGCACCGCCCGCGTAGCAGTGAATGCATCCTTGAACACCACGAAGGCGATCCCCGAACCCAGCTGCGCATCGACTTCACGGACTCTCCTCGCGCGCTGCGGTGGCGGCAGCAGCGTCTGACGCTGACTCCTAGATGACGACGAGGCACCAAAAGCTTGACGATACTGATGACGTGCTGCTGCCGCACCTACCACAGCACCAGGAGCCGCGGCGACAACGCGCTCAAGACCACCGGGTCGTCGGCTCGCGGTGCCTCCGCCGACACCGTCTCCGGCCTGCCTTCTACTAAAGTCCTGCTCCCTCCGTCGCTGGAAGTGCACACCCGCACCCTGACCAAACTTCCCCACCTGGGCTTCCAGATCCGCTACTACCGATTGAAACCATCGCACCTCGTCCCAGACTCCCCACAAGCCGCACAGGTAGCCAACCTTTCGCCTCCACCATTTTCTCCATCGCCTCATGGACTGACGCCACGAGCAAAAGCAACACTTGCGCAGCGTGAGGCCGACGCCCGCCGACACGCCCTCGCCGTCGTCGATAACCCCATCGACCACGGAAGCGTCGCACCAGCACCACTTGGCGGCCCACCAAGAACGTCGCGGTCTGGCCCTGTGGCCCACCACCTCCAACCCGCCGTAGACATCCCTCGTGAAACTCCCGCGAAGGTTCCGGCCCCCGGCAGAGCTGCTCCTCACTTCCAAGCTGTAGGCTCCTCCCCCGTCCTCGTCTTCATCGCTACCATAATAACAACCCTCCTCCTCCTCCTCCTCCCCTACCAACAACCTCGCCATGCCCTCCCCGCCGTCATCCTCCATCAACACGTAATCGTAATCGCTGCCTCCTGCCGCATTACCGTCTCTCTCCACCAAATGGTACTTCTCATCCGAGCCATCTTCGACGTGCAGGGCGTAAGTCAGCGCCCTTTCGAGGTCCGCTCGCGCCCTCTTCAACTCTCGAACGACTTCCAGGTAAAGCGACAGGTTCTCAGGAACGCAGACGGCGTAGACCTTGCCCGGATATAAGCGCTCCAGGTACTCGACGAGGGGCCTGGGATCGGAAGACAGGACACGCGGCACACCTCTGATCATCATGGTGAAAGCAGAAATGGCGTCCGAAGCATCTCTCTCGCGGATGCGTGTGAGGGAGAGGAAGCTCTCGAGCTTGACAAACAGCAAGTGGGCGATCGCGCACATCAGGTAAGTGAAGACGACATGCATCCACAGAAGCCAAGAGTCCCTGCGCAGATAGAAGGCCGTCGTGCGCGCGAAGCCGTCCAGACCGAAGCGCGCCGCTGGATCATGGCCGCCGCCGCCATCGGAACCTCCTCCTCCTCCTCCTCCTCCTCCCTCCCCCGACGAATCCACCCCGAGGTATAGGTTGACGGGTAGCACGAGCAAGATTCCAGGCACAGACGCCAGAAGGAAAGCAATGCAGGTGTACCGTTGGAGCATAAGATAGTCGCAAGCATCTGCGCCACACTGGCGAGCGACATCACTGTCGGAAAGCCTCCAGATGGCAACCAAACGCCTGACCAGCGACGCAATCCCACGTGGGGCTGTCTGATCGGGCCTGCGGTACAGAAAGCCGAAATCCGATTTCAACTTCACGAAGAGGAAAAGCAAAATGCACGCAACTCCGCCCAAGACACTGAACGGGAACAGGAACTGCAAACTCCCGCCGCCGCCATACGTCACCGGAGCGTCCGACGAAAACATCCCCATGGCTGCGGATGTTGTTCCTTCCCTTCAACGCACGCACGCGCGGCCACCCTCCCCTCTTCGGGCAGCGGCGATATTCCGCTCTAGCAACCGGCGACTGCCGCTGCTGGTGCTCCTCACGGATGGATCGAAGCGCTTGCTGATGCTCCTTAGTGAGGGATAAGCGCTGCTGCTGCTGCTCCTAGGGAATGTACTTGTAGTCGAAGCCTACTACGACCGACCAAAGCCTCAACAAAGCCCCCTGGTTTGCTGTAGGGCATAGCGAATATCATCGTGCCGCCTTCGACAACGAATGGCGGGAAAGAAACCCGCTTCTCCGCAACAAGACGACAAATTGTTCACCAACCTCCTCAGAAGAGAACAGGGGTGACAGCTACGCGCTGCCAACCTTATTTACATTATCACTACTGACTGGTACGCCTCTACTAAAACCACCTCCACCATCAAAGCGGTGATTGTTTATGCTCCACGGACGAGGGGCCGAGAAAGACAAAAAAGAACCCACTACCCTCGACTAATTAGGACCAAGGAAAGGCACCCCGCAATTCGGACGAGGCCGCCTCCACCATCAAAGCGGTGATTGGTGATGGTCAAAGAGCGCTCCAATCCACGCAGGGAACAGTGCATGCTGTGACTGAGATGACCGGCGCGACGCCGCTTCCGAACGCGCGGCCGTGCTTCACATCGAATGCAGCCCAGAAGGCGACGCCGTGCAAGGCAGGGAACAGCGAACACTCCGTGGCAGGCCATCAACGACCACCACCAACACCACGTCCAAGCACTACAAATCACAACCACACGGGGCGACTTCACAATGCCAGGAGGGCGGCCCCAGAGCACACCATCGCTGTACGACCGGCCCGCACCACAGCGAAGAACAAATGACGGGCACTAACAAACAAGAAGCGGGTAAGAGCCGATGACCGGAAAGCCGGATGGGGAGGCGAAGCCATAGATGGAAACGAAGGCCTGATGGGTACGAGGTAGACGACCTGCCACGGAATGACGTTATAAACTACCCAATGTAATTCAATTCAATTCAATTCAATCCAATTCGATTTAATTCAATCCGATTGGATTCAATTCAATTCGATTCACCTCGGTTCAATTCGAAGAGATAGATACACCCTTTAGTAGAAGGCCTTGGAACTGAGCGAAAGGCAGAGGAATGATGGGTACGAGGTAGACGACCTGCCAGGTATACATGCCCTTGAAAACCCACCAGTGGTCAACGAGTGAAGCGTGCGGAGCTCGCAAGAGGCAGAGGGGAAGGAAGAAAGCAAAAAATGATTACCCTAGACACGTCGATGACTCCATTGTCTGTCGCTTCCTCGCTGTCATCTTCACTAATTAAGCCCCCTTTCAGACCAACACCACCTTACCTTCCTTCTCGCCTAATCACTCTGCGGCGCTGCCCCAGCAGTACTTCCACAGGGTAGTAAACTGGATAGCTCGTCTCTCCACGACTTCTGGCCCCTCTCTCCCCTCCCTCTCATACGACGATACAATCCACACAAGAAGAACACAACCGGGTCTCGCCAGAGCGCGCCATCTCGATGACGAGTGCTCGTCGAAAGACGAGATGTCGTTCATGAAAGCCCGCGATATGTGCTTCGCTCTTCTTCCCTCAGACGCCGTTCCTATCACCTGCTGCTGCTCTCCTCGTTCAATCAACAAGATGAACCTGCATTTCCAAAACCACAACACATTCTGCATTTAGCAGAGAGCTGCGATCGAGGACGAGAGATGGAATTCTTTCTTCGTTCGTTTTTTTTAGAGAGGCGAGATTCTTGGCCGAATAAAACAGAAAAAAAAAGGAGAAAAACAAATCATGAGACAAAGCGCACTTGTTACAGTCAAGCAAACTTGGCGCGCTCTGTCCTACGCTGTCCAAGAGGTGCATCGCAATTCCAAGCTAAGGATTTGCTTGTGCAGTCGAGACTCCAAAACTGCATCGCAGACGACGATGCCTCATTTTCGCCTACGATTGAGACGAGCAGGCAATATCAAATTTCCACAATACCCACAAAGACAAGAAGGCCGAGCGAGAGCTACACTGAAGGACGAAGCACAACGCACAAACAAGGGCACGATCGACGGCAAAGAAGCCACGTCACCGTGCACAGACATGAAGATGTGTGCCGCAACTCCATTCAAGCGCGCACTTGAAAAGAGTTCGGCAGCTGAGATACAAGGTCAAGGACAGACAATTTTGTAAGTTAATCATAAGAGCATAATTGCCCACGGACATATTCAAAGCTACTTAATATCTCAATCTCCAGCGCCTGTGCAATGACGTTGCGCCTAAGCGCCATGCCTCTCCTCTCTCTCTCTCTCTCTCTCTCTCTCTCTCTCTCTCTCTCTCTCTCTCTCTCTCTCTCTCTCGCTCTCGCGCGCGCGCGCGTACGTACACATACACACAGAGAAGCCTGCACTCTGCCTGGTCACTTATCCCTCCTTTCCTCCTCCAATTCAAGGAACCAAAGCCAGGCCGCGTAGCCGCCCATGACGTCGATCCGTAGCCGTCTTCACGTCCATCTCTCCCGCTCATCCTCTATCTGTACGCGGACGTCCCTGAATGGGACGAATGGACCACGGAGGAGAAACGAGAATTCACCATGTGTGAAAAAGATGAAGTCCAGTTCCAAAGACCAGCGCGCGCTTGCGCGTGTTGCCATGTCTTTTTTAAGCACATCTTCCCCCTTACCCCTGGTGATCTCCCTCCTGCTGGTGCTCCATCCATTTTCCCTGTCCTTCGCCCGTACACCATTCCTGATCTACGTCCTGCTAGATCTGATTCCTGCTTTCCGCCGGCTTCCCACTCCTCTGCCCTCTGCACTAAATCGTCGCCCTACAAACCCTCCCTCTCCAGGTAATCCTTCCACTCCGCTGCTCCACCGTCTAGTCCACTCACTCTTCCTTTTCCCACCAACAATCCTCCCCTTCCTCCTCCTCCTCCTCCTCATACTGTTCACCTCCTTCCGACAGTCCTTCCCTTGCTCTTCTCCTCCTCTTCCTCCTACAGATAGCCCATCCTTCAGCGATCCTCCTCGTCTTACCAGTGATGATGCTTGTTGATGCCCTCTTCTCTTCTCCGCCGTCCTCCATAGCCTTCTCCCCATTCGTGTCTACAGCTTCATCTCTACCTTCATCCATCCTCCTCCACTTCGTAGTCGGAAAAGCGTTGCTCCTCACCCACGCTGCATCCTCCTCTCCTCTGTCTCCTTATCTACATCACCCTTCTCCTCTACCATCTTATATCCCTTCTCCCCCACATCCTTGCATCATGATCGTCATCGCCGGCGTCATCCTCGGCTGAGTCAAGGACTCTGCACGACGAAATATTAAGGATACGAAAAAGAGCGCGACGCAGCATACGGAGGAGGAAGGAGGAAAGGATAGACACGAAGCCATAGCAAGAGAGAACAGACCGAGAAGATACTAAAGAGGATGGAACAACAGACCGATATAAGGGGTGAAATGAATGCACGACCTGTGGGAGAGGGGAGGAATAGCGAAGAAGATAGTGAAGAGAAAGAACAACGAAAGGGGAAGAGAACGATAAGGACGAGCGAGAAGACAGGAGACGGGGAAGAGGCGGCAAGGCGGAGGCAAGAGGAGGGAAGAGAGGGGCAGGTGGGGAAGGCAGGAGGAGAAGGTAATCGGGAGGAGAAGAAACGCAAGTCAGTTAGGAGGGATCGTATAACCTTGAGTCCGAGTTTGAACCCTCGTCTTCCACGCAACATCACATGACCTACTCGGTCATGGTCGTCCACGAAGCCGAATTCCACCAGGGATTGAACGCATATCATTCCTGCCCCCCGCCGCCGCCGCCCCCCCCTAACAATCGCCACCTTGTCCCGGGGCTAGGTCCCACTTGCACGGATTAAGAGATTCTGGCCGTTGATCTTTGCTATCTACGGTCAATATCGCTTAATTCGTGTAAGTGGGACCTAGCCCCCTGGCATTTAGAAGCGTCCCTTCGAGAGGCGTCCGTTGCTTAATTCGTGTAAGTGGGACCTAGCCCCCTGGCATTTAGAAGCGTCCCTTCGAGAGGCGTCCGTTCGAGAGGCGTCCGTTCGGGGGAGTTGATTGATACCCTTCATCACCACATGCTATTGCATTACCGCGCCAACGATCACGAATTGACGGCATGAGAATGAGGAGTACACTGGAACAGCTCTCCAGTCCGTTGAATAGAGGGAAATCAAGGATCCGAGAATGCCGAGACGTCAAGCGTCATCGTCAACCCAGTTGAAAATCGATCCCAATGGCGCAGCTCAGGGCGTACTCGCACTGCCACTCTCCCAAACGTATCTGACCGTAACTACGACCGGATCTGGATGCATCTGGCTGCATTTCCATCCAGAAATAAGAAAAAAGGTCCTAGTGCGAGTATGCCCTCACAGTCGTACTTTCCAATTCCTTTCACTGACGGATGCCACCTCAGCAGTGCTCACTCATGCTCTCTCTGACACAAATGCGTCTTCTCTCAGCCTGCAACAGGCCAAAATCGCAAGGACCGCCTCAACGAGAGATGCAAAGACGCAAAGAATAATTTTTTTTTTAGAGCGTCGCCGTGCAGCTTGTTGAGTACATGGAACTTCGAAGTATAGGGCCTCGCTGCACTACTCTCCAAATGTGCAAAATGAGCAAGAATCTTCCGCTACGATGTGGAAAGATCACCGCCATATTTTTTGTTTTTTGTGCATGTGGAGAGTAGTGCAGCTAGGCCCACGCCCTGCCCTCACGCCCGGCATTTCTGCCACGATGCGGAAGCCACAAGTGCCTCCTCATCGTACCTCGCGATCTTCACCGTGCTTTCACAACGTGCTAGACAGACGCAGACGACCTCCAGTTCCCGTTAGCGGCCAGGATATGCGGGTGGCAGAATCTACGGTTCTCTCGCGCTGAGCACGATCAGACGGCGCTTCTTGTTTCAAACAATTGCCTGTCGATACTAGGGAAGTTATTTTATTTTTTTGTTGTTTTACAAGGGTTCGACCCCACGTACTGCAATGTACGCTCGTTCGAGCAACCGGCTACGCAAGTGACATTCAGGGTGGTCGTGGGTTCAATCCCCACACACCGCACGGGCAAGCTTATTGCCAACCAACTGAGATAGTTGGCGGTCGTAGGTTCAATTCGTCGTGGGTCTGGCTGGGCACTCGTAGTGCCAGCCAACTGAGATAGGTGGCGGTAGGGGGTTCAATCTCCACTGACCGCCTGGGCACCATCAGCGCCAACCAACTGAGGGCCTACTCACACTAGGGCCCCAACTGAGATATTCAATCTCCACTGACGGCCTGAGCACCCTCAGCGCCAACCAACTGAGGGCCTACTCACACTACGGCCTTTTATGGCAAAAAATAGCTAAACTTCGATGGTTGGGCCAGTCGCACCAGGCAGGGATATTGGCAAAAGCGGCAAAAGGGGTATCAAATGTCAGGGCATACGCACACCTTTTTTTTTCCTTTTTCTTTTTTTCAAAACAGATCCCTCCAGTGCTAGCGATGCTGATTAGAACAGACATTGCTAGCACCCGGGGATAGGCTCCATCTATTGGTGGGGAGCATCACCTGCTGGAAAACGGGTCCAGCGTCCCTGATGAGAATGATACAATTGGAATACATCAGGACACATCAGAAAAAAGAACTGTAGGAAGAGCCTGCCAGCATTGATTGCCCTGGAGACCAGGGGATTGACTGAGCAGGGAGGGGGGCCTCTTCACCCTGATCTCGGCACCGGGTGACTACTGCTGGCTATTGACTTCCTGCATTTTAGACCTGCCAGCATTGAATGCCCTGTCTCCAGGGGATTTTCAAAGCAGACTTTATTTCCCGTATCTCTTTACCCCTAGAGGTGGCGCCAGATGTCCCAATAAGCTGTGATACCACTTCAGGAAGTAACAACACTGTTTTGTTGGAAGAAACACTCCCTGGGGGGCTCCAGGGGAGAGTTCCTTATATGAAAGGAAAAGTAAGTGGAAGTAGTGGAAGTAAGTAGAAGTAAGTAGAMTGAGTTACTGGGTTGTAACAATMAGGACAGGATMTCAGCCAGGGAGAGGGCATGGGGCGGGAAGGGGTCAGGAAAATCAGCAGGGGGGCGGAGTGGGAACGAGGGTTCTATGTTCGTCCAGTCTTTAAAACTTAAGCGGTAGTCTCTCATTTCTTCCAGATCCCTCGGTCCCTCCTCCCCATCTCCACTCCATTCTACTTTGCAATCCATCCTTCTCTCTCCCCTCCCACCCAGTCTGTACAAAATGATGTAATCCTTCTCCTGACGTCTCCTTCTTGTTTAAAGGAGTTTAGTTGTGTTTTAGCGGCCCGCCATCTTTGTGTGAGTTCGAAATGCACCTGCTGTTGAATACACTCGGTAATTTCTGGCACCTCTACCCTCACTTTGTCCATAGCCAACATACATCTCTGCCTCCAAAGTGCCCACAATACCGCCCTCCTTCCAAGTGTGTACATAGTTTCTACGAAGGTTGTGGCAGCTTCTGCTTGTGGCCAGTGACCGGCCAGAATGGCTTGCCACGACCAGGGCCAGGGGAATGTAGGAACCATCTTTCTCCATACCCGGTCCCACCACCTCCATATGAATTGGGTGATCGGGCATTGTAGGAAGATGTGTTCGATGGTTTCCGCCTTTTTATGGAAAGGGAAAAGGCCTTGACACCGTTGGCACCATGGGAGCAGTAGGCCCTTTTGCTCTAAATTAGTGCGGTCGATCAACCAATCATTGGTTGGCAGACATCGGTGGGCGATTTGCCTTTGCAGGGAAGTGATTTTCATGGGTCTTGCCTTTTGTTCCCGAAACCATTTGATTGGGGTTAGGAGGGAGCGATCCACGTTCAAGTGTTTGGCCCATTTATCGTTGATAACGTCTCTCAGCCGTTTCTTTGGTCTGAGCATTTTGTAGGCTGACTTGACTGACAATTGGTGTAGGCTGGTGCGGCCTGCTTTAGGATTTACCCCTTGCCGGGGGTGTTCCCAAGACCATTCATCTGGGTCTAGAGGCAGGTCCTGGATAGGTTTGAAAGGCTGGAACGCCACCCTTTGCCCTTTCTCTTCTAGGATTCTCACTCTATACACAGATGTTTTTTCTTTCTATACAAGGGGGGCTTTGCTTCCTTGGAGGGTGTTAGTCCTGGTGATTGTGCAGTATTCGATTAAGATCGCCTGGGGTGAGACCATGTGTATTTGTCCTATCTCCTGGGGAGGCTCCTTGCTGGCTACCAAGTTGCCTTCTTGTAAGGCGGGGCCTTGCTTAAGGGTTTGATACCATGCCAGCGGGATAGCTTCAACCAGGTCGCCCAAATGCTCCTTCACGTGATGGCAATATCGTAGGGTTTCCTGCATTTGGTCCCCTGTTTTCCAATCTTTTTTTTCGTCATCCCAAAGGTCCCCGACCCTGAGCACCCCTCTTTTCACCCAGCTCTTCCAGGGCAAGGCTGAGCTTGACATGATGCAACCACTGAAGTTGGTCACTCGTCGGTTTCCGAACAAGGGTTGTCGGTGGACTTTTTCCCAGCGTAGAGGGTGCGGTCTGTCCGGAAGCGGAAGTCTACGCCAGGTTTTTAATAGGGAGGGCCAGAAGTTGTCCAACACTCGGTTATCTCCGTCCAGTCCTTCCTTTGCTCGGGGGAACTTTCGTGGAATCGTCCAGAAACGGTCCTCCAACCATATCAAGGGGTGCGTGGAATGGGGGGGTTCTGGGGGCACCTCGAATAGAACATGTACACGTTGTATTCGAATACAACGTGTACCATTTTTATTTTGATTGTCTACCGCGTGGGCGCGAGTGTGACGTACTAGCTTTCGGACCTGCGCCATCTTTCGGACCCCTTCCTTTTTCCCATGTCCAGATGTGTACAGTTCGACCCCGAGATCCCCTTCCCCCCCCCCCCCCCCCCTCTGTCTGTGCCCGATTAAAGGTACCTTGCAGGAATTTGTCAGTTCCTTTTTTTTTGTGTGTTTTGATTGAAAATGCATGGGAATTTCGCGTGCCTTACAGTTGTCAGCGCCTCACCATTCACAGGCGACATGCACCTTACGTCCTTCGAGCAGCCCGCGGCTCTTGACCATCGAGCTGCCAACACCTCGCCTCGTGCAAGCAGCCAGCACCACGCTTCCGACTCGCCACCAGCACTTCACCTCTCGCCCACGTCGTGGCTCGTTGGTGTGTAGGGAAGAGGGCGCAGGGGCGCAGCGCTCCTGGTAGCGCTGCGCCCCTCACTCGGAATCCTCCAGCATTGATTACCCTGGGATCCAGGGGATTGACTGAACAGGCTACATTTGTGGTCTCTCAGTAACTACTTCAACAGGCATAGGAAAACCTCACAACCCATGCCCACACATACTGGTAGAATCAAAGAGGGGATTAATGCCTCCATGATGCATGCAAGTACGATAGATATGAGTTAGCGAGTGACAGACACGACAGTGTAAGGTAGCAAGTGGATAGATTGTGAGTGCAGAGTACCAACACGACATCATGTGTATTGGCTGTTCATGCTTGCAATACTTTCACTGTACATAACAAGGACGCTGGACCCGTTTTCCAGCAGGTGCTGCTCCCCACCAATACATGGAGCCTCCCCGACGTTGCTAGTGGTGTCTGCTTGTATCAGCACCCCTAGCAACTGCTCGGGCAGTTTCTCTCTCAAAAAAAAAAAAAAAAAAAAAAAAAAAAAAAGGAAAGAGGGGGGGAAGAATCTCTTCACCCTAAAACCGGCGCCAGATACCTGCTGTTACATAGTAAGTTCTCCCTCCCCCCGTCATTGATTGCACTGGGATCCAGAGTATTAACTGAGCAGAGATTTGATTTACCCAAAGAAACTTTGTTCCACTAAGCTCAGCGATGAAGGTGGGAACGGGTCTGGGAAGTTTGAGAGTGGCCGAAGTGTAATCGCAGGGTCGAGTGTTGTCCATTCATGGAAGCAGAGCTGGTACTGCCTGTGAACCATCTTCTGATCCCCTCCTTGCCTTTCACTCTCTTTCACCATCCCCAACATCCCCCCGTTTGTTCTCCCAAGCCAGTTGCCACTGAATCGTTGAATATTCCGATGGATTTCCTTCAAGTCATGAAGGGTTGAGATCCGGATTTTCATCTGTTCCCACTGAGAGGAGATGTCAGCTTGTACCTGTTGCTTGATGATGTCTGTGAATTCTGGTCCGTCCAGTCTGACTTTTTCCATCTCGTGAGTGCAACGTCTCCACCATAGGACCCACATTACTGCCCTGTATCCTATTTTGAAAAAAGGTTGTGTGAGAAAGTGTTTAACTGGGGTGGATGCCAGGTTTCACAGAGGATAGCTCTTCAGTCTCATGGCCATGGAGAATTGGTGCCAAGTTGACTTCATATTCTGTCCCGCCACCTCCAGAGTCAGACCGCTCCAGGGCATTGTAGGAAGATGTGTTCAATTGCCTCCGGAAGTTTCCTGGCAGGGAAGACCGAGGCACAAAATTTGCACTAGGGTAGTGCTCATCCTCTTTGTTCAAGGGACGATTTGTCTATAAGCCAGTCGTTGGTTCGTAGACAGCGATGGTCAATTTGCCATCGTAGGGAGGTCACTTTGGCGGGTCTAGCTTGTATCCCTTGGAACCACTTGATTGGGCGTAGTGACTCCTTCCTAACATTTAGTTGTCTCCTCCATCTATCCTCCACCTGGTCTTTGAGGTTAGTCTTTGGCCTTAGCATTCTATAGGTGGGTTTGACCGATAGATTGTGTAGCGCTCGGATATATTTTCTACCTTTGTTTGTTGTGTTAGGCCAGGTCCAGTTGATAGGATCAAAGAGAAGGTTAGTGATTGGTGTATTCGGTTAGAAGGCTAGCCATCCCTTTTTGTGTTGTATTACTCTGATCCAGAATAGCAGGTTGTCCTGAACCCGTTCCGTTATTTTTGGTTGGGGCCTGTGTAATATGTTCTCCTGTCTCAGTCTAAAGAGGCTGAGTAGGGACTCCCCTTGCGGGTGTCTGTCAACTATGCTGCCCACCCATTGGGGTCTCCCTCGTATGGCCACCCAGTCGCTCTCCTGCATGTTGGGGCCTTTTCGTAGGATCCGGACCTAATCCAAGGAATCATTTCGATCATTTCGTCAAGTGTTTCTTTCAAGTGGTGGCAATAGCGTAACTTAGTTCTTACCTCCTCTTGGGAGAGTCAGTCTTTTGTTGTTTGATCCCATATATCCCCTATTCTCATTACTCCTCTTGCTACCCATCCTCGCCATGGAGAGTCCATACAGTGTGAAGATTGTCTAAAGTGCAAAAAGTGACTAGGATGGTGCAATTACATTTTTCTTTCAATGCCCCCTTGAACTGAAGGGTCAGTGACTAGGATGGTGCAATTACATTTTTCTTTGAATGCCCCCTTGAACTGAAGGGTCAACGACTAGGATGGTGCAATTATATTTTTCTTTGAATGCCCTCTTGAACTGAAGAGTCTTTTCAGGTGGTGAGGAACAATACCCAAAGTGTGTGCTGTTGCCCGGGGCAAAGGGCCTGTCACAATCTTTGTGGGTTGACAGTTGGTTGGACACATCTGAGTTTTGCAAAAACAGGGTCGCAAAGGTGACTGTCACATGGCAAATGTTGAAATCGCGAACAAGACTGGTCTGCACTGCCCTGCGGGGAATAGGGTCTTGCTCATGCTTTTAGTCAGAACAAAACAACATAGCTCTAATCATTCTTTCTAATGGATAAGAAATACGCTTGGAAGTGACGTTGTCAGTCAAACCTTGCTGGCAGTTTGCAACACTGATCCTGGAGCGGAAAAATCCTACCCAGCCGAAGCGCAACGCCTGCCCTCAACGCAACTCCCATGCACTCTAAGGTCCGCTTTCCGCAACTCAACAGTCGTGGAAATAGCGAATGCATCCTGCCACATTCAATAGCAAGACGCACCTATCAGAGGTGGCAACTGGGATTTTTTGGAATACCTGTACCTTACCTGCCATAGCTTCTTTGAAAACTAACCACCCATACCCACTGTATAAATGGCTTACCGAACCTTTACCCATCCTTACCTGCAAAAAAAAAAAAAAAGTGTACCCGTATCTGTCCTACCCAAACCCCTTCAGACTGTAACTGCCCATAACTGCCTATGGACTTTCTGTTTCAAAATTACCCATGGTCACCTGCGTCCAAACCTTATGTTAACCACTTGTACCATACCTAACCAATTTTTTTTTCACCCCTACCCACCCGTACCCACCCACAATTCTATGCACCCACCCGTAACCATCTGCACTTTTGACCCACCCTCCCCTTACTGCCCTTAACTGTCCCCAACCGCCCCTAACCGCCCCTAACCGCCCCTAATCGCCCCTTATCGCCCCTAACCGTCCCCAACAACCCCTAACCGCCCCCTATCTCCTCTAACTGCCCTCTGCCGCAGCAGTAACTTCATCTGATGTAGAAGGTGCAACAAAGGTGCACTTAAAGGTGTGGGTGTTGTTCCAGCTACAACAACTGCAACAATTGGAACACAAACGCATGATCTGAAGCACACAAAAATACATAATGTCATACGTACACAATGTGACAATCATAAATACTTCAAATACATAATGTGACTCACAATCTCACACACACGATGCCCACACACATATACAGTGTCTCACACAGTGCACACACACATACACAGTGTCACATATACACACAGTGTCCCACACACCCCTGCATTGTCCCATACATATCGAATTGGTCTTAAAAAATGAAAAAAAAAAAAAAAAAAACTACACACATATGAAATTCACCATTGCATTGGAAGAACAATCAAAAGCAAGAAAGAATATCTGCCTTGTAAAAAAGTGAAAATTTGAGAATTAGAGAAAAATATCATGCTTTACAAAAATTGCAAAATATGCAGAACCACAACTCTCACATCTTGTGGCCGGTAGGTAGCAACTTGCAACAATGACTACACTCACATCATGTGAACGGAAGCCTCCAAACAACACAAAGTTACAACACAGTGAACACACACATCATGTCATCACGTCGCAGTTGGAGCGCACAAAGAGGACGTCATCGACGATGGACGGATTGAGCTGGTTTCTTTTCTTCGTGACGGTGTTTCCTGTATCCGAGAAATTGCACTCGCTCTTGGAACTCGATGCAGGAACACACAGAAGTGCACGAGCAGCACGCGCCATGATCGGTAAAGGTGGGAGCAACAATTGGTTTTCTGCATTTTTTGCGATGGTACCCTTCGCCTTCCACCACGCAAGTATGTCGAACTTGTGCTTCTCTTCTTTTGTCAACTTCAAGCTGAAGTAGAATTTTATCTCTTTTTTTATGCGTTGCGCCAACGTCAAGGGTCTGCTGTGAGCGATGGGCAGGTCCTCCTCCTTGTCTTCGTCCGTACTGCACAATGTTAACTCGTCAGGGACCTCTTTCGTGTGTACTTTCTTCCTCCGCTTTGCTGGTCGCTTCCCCACCGCTGCGGAAGGTTCATCACTTGCCTCAACGCTTGAGTCTTTGACATTGTACATGAAGCCTTACAAACAGATCTTGCCTCGCTCAACCTGGGATTCTGACAAACCAAAACGGTTCAACCTGTCATTTTGTCGAGGATCGAGTAAAGCTGCAGCAATATGAAGGTCCTCCAATATCCACTTCTCCTGCAACACATCCTTGAGCAACATCTTGATGGCTAAAATGTCATCGAAATATGATGGAATGGTGAACTTGTTACCCTCGGCATCCTCACCACTGTATGGCTCGTTACGCGGTTTGCAGTACTTTAAGAGAGCACTGCGCTCGAATACCACAAGGTGAATTGTCGGCGCCAGATACTGCTCCAACTTAAGGCTGACAGTCTGAAATCGTTTCAAAAACCACGTTAGGTCTGCGAGCGAGGTTTTGTCAATCCTTGTGATGAGGAACTGTTTGTTGGCTTGCCGATTAGTGCTGGCAAACCTGTTGAGGACTGTTGTCACGTCATCATAACTGTCCAAAATACTGTTCAGTGAAATTAGCAAAGAGTTTCAACGCACCACATTCTCTTGCTTCAATGTTTTGCTCAAACTGTTCTGCAGGTTTGCTTGTTTGAAATACCGTACCAACTCTTTAGAGTTGTCGATCATTTCACACAAGTGCGGTGCAAATTCGTGATATCTGTAAAACGGCGACAATCGAACTCTATCTGTTGTCGTTGAGGTTTTGTTAAACATGGTTGTGAGGACCGTTGCAATTTTATGGTCCACGCAAGCCACCCACTTATAAACTTTTCGGATCTCTTCTGCTGCGGCCATGTTCGATCGACTATCTGTGCACATAACACACCTTTTTGAGTCTTTACATCCGAACTCATGAAGGGTCTCTTGAAATGCCTTGAGAACGACTGACCCTATGTATGATTCCTCTTGGAACGCTTTGACCTGCAAATTGCGCACATGCAATTTGAAATTGTTGTCGATGTAGTGCATGGTCACAAACATAAATGTTTTTTTTTTTACTTCGTCTGTCCACATATCTCCTGTAAAACCTGCGTGTGCACCATCATTGAAATGATCATTTACCATTTCTTTCACTTTTTCACGGGCTGACAATGCTGTCCCAACAACATGATGTTTGACCGTGTTGCGGACGGGCATCACCTTCCCCATCCGCATAAGCTTTCCCACTGCTACGCCCATGTCGTACGCCTCTTGCACAACCTCTAAAAAACACTGGTCCTCTACCACGCTGAAGGAGCGCAAATCTTTGCAGCACCACATGGCGACCTTTTTGGCCATCCTGTTTTTTTGAGTTGTTGTAGGCTCAGTAGAAGTAGCAAACAGGCGCATGAGGCCTGCCCCCTCCGGTTCCTTGCGACACGTGTGTTGTCGCAGGGTGCTTGTCCCATTTGAAGTCGTGAACGCATACACTCTAAGACATTGTCTACAAGCTACGTGTCCGCTGCAGTGCTCCCGTACTAGGGCACCATTAGGAAAACACACATGGGCGAACAATTCCCAAATCTCGAAAATTTCGTCTTTTAAAATATATGGAGGGTTCAGTCCTCCTTTTTTTAATGTTGTGTGCACAGCCAGTTTGAAATTTTTCATATCACTGGCCGTGGCTGAAGAGCCTGATGTCCCGACACTTTTGTCCTGCAGCTTCAATGCTGCCTTTCGTTTGGGGTCAGATTCGTCGGAATCATCCGATGAGCCAAAACCCTCATGCGGGGCAGGATCCATCGATAGGTGTTGGATTCGTAGAGAATCGAAATATTAGGAATTGACTCAGCTAGCGTAAGTCAATAAGAGACCTTAATCAGATTCCACACCACCGACCTGCTAAAACCCAGGCTAGTATCCGAATGACGATGCTTTCAAAAAAACGGAATTACCTGCAGATGGTGAGCTCAAAGACATGCCCTATAACATCCCAAACATCAGCAGACCCAAAAACTCCCACTAAGCTGGCAACTTCGGCAAGTCCTTTACCATCGTCCCTTTACCATCGCCGTTGGAACTTGCTGGAGTATAACTGCACACCGCCACACACCATGCACATAAAAACACACAGCTGGTGTCAGTATGCCTGTAACTATGGACATTGAAGTCATGGATGCCCGTAACTGTGGACATTGAAGTCAGTATGCCCATAGGATATCTAGCAGCAGCGAACTTGGGACATCTAGCAGACTAGCAACAACGAACTTGGGACATCTAGCAGCACCGAACTTGGGACATTGTAAGTTGGCGGATCCCTTCTGCTGCAGACAGACCATTGAAGTCTGTATGCCCTGGGACATTGAAGTCATTATGTTCGTAATTGTGGACAAATACATTGAAGTCGGTATGCCTGTAACTGTGGACACTGAAGTCAATATGCCCGTAACTGTGGATGGATATATTGAAAAGAATGACCGTAACTGTGGACGGATACATTGAAAAGACATCTAGCAACAACGAATTTGGGACATCTAGCAGCAGCGAACTTGGGACATTGAAGTCAACGGATCCCTTCTACTGCGGACAGACACATTGAAGTTGTATGCCCTGGGACATTGAAGTCAGTATGCCCGTAACTGTGGACAGATACATTGAAGTCGGTATGCCTGTAACTGTGGCCGTTGAAGTCGGTATGCCTGTAACTATGGACATTGAAGTCAATATACCAGAGAGAGAGAGAGAGAGAGAGAGAGAGAGAGAGAGAGAGAGAGAGAGAGAGAGAGAGAGAGAGAGAGAGAGAGAGAGAGAGAGAGAG